CCCCCCCCTTTTTCTTTTTCCTTTCCTAAGGCAAATATTTGTAAGTTGTGACTTTTGCCCACCCAAGTTACTGAATCTGAAGGAAACCCAACACCAACATTTCACACCTATTCACTTACCTGAGTTTAAGTACTTTATGGCATTATTTTCTTTCTACAGCAAGCTACTTAATTCTTTTCCGTTATTAACAGTGGAAACCTCTAACAGACAGACACATCCACACAACTTCATCAAAACCCACTGAAACACATCCAGACTTATATTCATTTTAACTCTTTATTTGGCTTTAACATGGTGGCTGCACCTTCCACCTGAATTCCTGACAATAAATCACCTCGGCTCTATCACCTACAACTATCATACGAGAACAGAATCTCAGAACCAAAAGGGACAGAGATGAGGTGATGTGACAACAGACGCCAGCGCCTCTCCTCTGCTGCACAAGCTGGTGGTCACTGCCAGATCACCTTCGGTACCAGATTTGGGATTTCAAACTCCAAAGGACTTCAGAGCCAGGTTTGTGGCATGTGATTGCTGAGAGGTTTAGCAGGAGCCTCCCAGGAGAGGGACAGCAAAGTCCTCCAGGCTGCCCCGGCAACGACAGGGCTTGAGACAGGGCCAACAGCAAGAATATTAGGAGAACGTAACACAAGTAATTGTTTTGTTTTTCTCGTAGCTCAGAGGCAGAAGCAGGAACAGCAAAGTTTACAGTGAGAACGTTCTGCATTTATGCATTAGACAAAATGCATAAAGAATCTGTACGAAGCAAACCTTGAAGCGTGGTTTGTATTATTCACGAGTAAGCGACGTGGCATATGAGTTTTGTACTTTTAAATATCAGGCAATTACTTCTTAGGCTAAACAACAATTTCTAGACTTAACTGATATGTCACATTTATTAGGAATTCAATGATTAGCAGAAATTAATCCTTATTATCTTAATTAGCGATGCAAAGGATATTCACACTGAATAACAGCTCTGAAAAGCCGCGTGCCCTGAACATCTCTGTGGATCACAAATCTTCAGTAAATGGCTCAGGGCAGGTCGAACGGTATTTTGGATACTGCAGAACCCGCCTCAAACACTTCAAACCTCAGCTTTTAAAACACAATTTCCATGTTAGTGGGAAAAAAATAATCAAAAAAGTAGAGTGTCCTCTAGAGGGCACAGCAAACCAGTAAACTGGAATCATTTAATTTTGAAACACCTCAGAGTTTAACAGTGGCACAGGTGAAGTATTTTCCAGCTTTTTCCTGTGTTTGAAAGCACCAAACTGGCTCTGAGCGGGGAAGTAATGGGGCCGGGCTGAGCTCGGGAGAATCCGTCGGGCACCGGGCACGTGCCGACGTGTCGAGCCCGTCGCTGCGGAGCCCTTTTCAGGGAGCTGCTCCGTGTGAAGGACTGACTGATGCTCAGCTGGCTCGTTCCTCCTCAAACCTTCAGGTTCAACCCCTCAGGAAGAGCAGGGATAGTTCTCTAAAAAACTTGAGAATCACACAAACGTGGGGATTCGAGCAGCCGGCGTTCAACCTGAACCAGCCCGCTCCTGGCACACCAGGGCTCCCAGCTCCCCCCTTGAACCGGCCCACAGGGCTGCTGCGGGGTCAGCACGTTCCATCCACAAACACGAGGGGACGTGGAGGATTTTCTCTGCCCACAGATGACGGGCTCCATCCAGCACGGGCGACGCCTGGCCCCTCGCCCAGCCGTGGCGGGAGCAGCCGGGCTGCCGTCGGGCCGCCCTGGGCAGGGAGGTTGGTGGAACCTGGGAGCTGCCAGCGGGGCCGTGGCGGAGCCGCCGTCACCCTGCTCCTCCTGCCAGCTCTCCTCCGGCCGAGGTGGCAGCGTCTGAACCCGCTTCAGATGGCGGCACCGGGGCTCTCCCCCCTCCCGCACCGAGCGGGGCCACCGCTGGGTCATGTGACACGCCGAAGCACGTGACCTGCCACGGTGAAAACCATGGCAACGGCCGGTCCCAGCCGGTGCTGCCCGGCCTTCATTTTGTGAGGTGAGGTCGGGCTCAGGTGCCGGCAAGAGAAAATGGAGCGGCCGTGCCCGGGGGTCCCCCCTGCGCCCCGGGGCCCCCCACCACTGACACCTGCACCAAGGGTCCTCTTGGTGTTTTTCAAGAAATGAAGTGAGAAACGGGAAAAATAAATTAAAAAAAAAAAAAAAAGAAAAGAAAAAAAAAAAGCGCGCCCTGAGTGTGTCACTGGCCTGCGTTGTGGAGTCCTCCTGGGTTTATTTTCAGGCTGGTTGAGGAAGGCCGGGCTGACAGACGACGCCTGCCAGCCCCCGGATAGCACAAGGAGGAAAAAAAAAAAAATCTTAATCCTGAACTAATTCAGCGACATGTGCTGATAACAGAACGACAGGACATCTGCAGCAACGTGTGATCAACAGAAGTTTGCGTTCATCAGCCATCTGAATACTCTTTATCTTTGGAAAAAAACCCAAAAAACCCACAACTAAATTGAGGAGGAGAGGGGGAGCACAGCTCCCATCCCGCCAGCCAAGCCTGGGCTCGCTCAGCCGCCCACGGACCACGGCCCCGGGGTTGGATGTTGGTCTGTCCGGCCACGGCCGAGCCGTCACACCACACTGGACCTTCCCAAGATGGACCAATGGCACCTCCACCAAGGAGCTGCTGCTGGGACCGGGGGTCCCCTCTGCTGCGGGGGTCCCCTCGGTTATCTCCTTGCACTTGGAAGAGAGCAACAGCAAAATTAAGTGTCTATGCAAGATGCCACTGCTTTGCACACACACACACAAAAAAAACCAACCCAAACCAAAAAGCTGCCCAAGCCATTTTGTAGGACCATCGTATCAGATCTGGAACTAGGAAATAAAACCTTGCCCGCAACATCATCAACCCCGTCCTGCACCCAGGCTGTGAAGCAGGAGACACAACCAGGAGCACCCGTCAGTGGCCTGACCGTGTGATTTCTCTATTTTGCAAGATACATGATGATATTCCCGACAGCTATTTTATAAGACGCTGATCTAATAAAAGCTGCATTAGAAACCACTACATTCAGAGTTTTAAAATCATATATTTCCACGAAATGTCGTATCCATTTAGGATCATCTCCCTACACCAACTTTTGAGTCTAAATGCGACCTCACAGAAGAAAAGCTCTTCTTGAAGCTGGGAGTATCTATTTTTTAAGGCAACACAAACTGACCACAGCAACCAAATCGACTCATATTCGGTATATCACAGGATTTGTCTCCTCAGCAGCACGACCAACTGTACAGTGAATGAGGTGGCACAAGACTGAACTTCAGAAATGTAGACCAGAACTGTGCAAAACAATCTTCCTTCAAAAAGGAGTTTGCTTTACTCTTTTGTTAGCCTGTGTGTAAAGCAAAAAAATTCAAAGCAGATGTTTCAAAATAAGACAGACAATGGAAATATCACCACTTTCAGAAAAATACTGCCACCAGCAGTTAATAATTTGGGATAACTGCCCTGATACTATGACCTTTATCCTCTGAAGCCATCAGGCATATCCTTTAGCTAAATAAAGACATAGTTCTATTATTCTCCCTTCAGCTTTCATAAGTGTTGCTGTCTCAATCATTTGGACTCTATGCTAGAAGATGAAAGCAGGGTTGCTGCCCGGTTACGTACACCCATTTAAGCATTCACAGCAATAAAATACGATTTAAAAGAGACCTTGCAGAAAGTTTGTGTAACGAATCAAACGCAGACCTCCTAAGTCACTAAGTGCGCGAAGAAAAAGGCCGTGCTTCCTCCAATATCCTCTTGAAAAACCTCAGAGCACAAGGACAGACACATCACGCTATTCCAGAGTTTTCCTGAGTGTCTTGGAGCATCCTGTAGCAATTCAGAGCACAACAACTATTCCAGAAAAAAACCCAAACCAAACCAAAGGGCCACTTTCCCATGGGGACACTGTATTTTTTTGCTGATCTGAAAGAAAGAAAGAGGGTCAAGGTGGCTCAAATCCAGCCTTGGAGGTCGGCTTCCATTTAGATGGACCAGGGGAATTTTTGTCTTGAAGATGATACATCCAAGGTCTAAGGTATCTCGAGTTGGACTCGACTTTTCTAACAGATTCACCTTCCTGCCAGATAGAACTTTCAATGAAGAATGACCAAGGAAGACAAAGTTTAAGCTTAACACTAGTAAGAGAAAAAAGAGACGCCCAGGAACTACTGGTTTTGGTAGAGGGTTTAATTTCAGAGGACTAGTGCTGCAGCTTACAGAGAGCTTCACAACGTTAACAGAAGAGCTCCTGTATCTCAACAAGCACTCTTTGCATTCCTCACACTGATCCAGAAGTATTACACAAAAAAATAAGCTTCCTTTTAGAGACCAGATCTTACCCATGCTCTTAAATGCTCTTCTGATCACTCTCAGGGGAAAAAAAATAAAAAAAAATCAATGCGATGCTCACTTGGTTAAAGTTACAGCAGTACTGACCTGTAACCTGAAATCCCCCACTGCAGAACAGGAGGCTGAGACAGCCCCATCCTGTGGTATCCCAACATTTTCTGCTCATTTGCAGGTAACTGAAGGAAGCATCACAACTGTTATT